TAGAGACTGAATAGTGGCAAATTACGCTATTGTATATAAGTTTGTTAATATTCATGATTCATGAGCAGTCATTCAATCGCTATATTTTGTACGGAGACTGTTTGAACTAAAAAAAAATAATAAATGTTTAAAGTTAAAAAATAAATATAATAATTTATTTTTAAAAACAAATTATTACAATTTTAAAAATTAGCTACACTATTTAAATAATATTTTTTTTTAATTTAAACAGTTTTTAAATATTTTAATTAATTTTTAAATTACTTTTAAAAATTTCATGATTTTAATAATTTATTACTGATTATTATTTGTCTGTTTTTGTAATTTATCACATAACGTTTATAGTTCATTGTAACGAAAATTACAAAAAGTACATACCTCTGGAATGAAGAGATACTTCTTTCAAGAGTTTTATATAATCCGTATTAGGACTTAACTCATCAAAGCCACGATGAAAAGACTTCTTCCCGAGTGCTGTAAAGACAGCGCCTAGCGTGAAATAACAATTCGAATTTCCTTTAGTTCGGTCTTCATAGTTATGAAATAGAAGTGCTACTACTTTCCAATCGAATTTCTGCAAAACTTGCAATACAATAGTGCCAATTTGAGAATAAGAGCCATTCATTCTGGTTAAAAGCTTGTAATGGGGCAGTTTATGATCAAAGTTATCATTTTGTCCACCCGCTGTAAGTATTGGTAATCCCCATACAGAAGTATATCGTGCTACTGGCGCCAAAACGTATGGGCATAAAGGTCCCAAGAATATATCAGCTAAACCAGAATTGTATAATGAAAATGTAGCCAAGGGGCCATATGTAGAGGAACATTGCGTATCCCGGTACAAAACTTCCATCGGTCTCTCGCCTTGTCGTAGAAGTGTTCGTACAGCATAAATCACAGCAGGAAGTACCTTGTGTAAAGAGAATGGCATGGAATCGTCATCTGGGGCCAAAACTGCCAGTCTTACTGGTTCCATGTTTTGAGCATTTGGCTCGGTTAGAACTAAACACGCAAATATGCATATCATGTATAAATATATAAAAAGATAAGATGTTAGATACGCCATTTGGAATGAATAAGTGACTAAATCATGGGCTCAAAATCAATCAAGTGGCGAATGTTTGGTTCATACGACACGTTATATAGTTATTGGTTGATTAAAGTGCAACTAATAATGCGTGAGTGAGAAAAGTACGGTAAGCTTGTGGCCCATTTATGTGAGACTAGATATGTAGAATCATCGAGCATCGTATCAATCAAGAGTTAGTTGCATTTCAAATTTCATCACTTCCTTAATTAAACTAAATGTTTGTTCCAAATATTGTCCTAATATTTTCACAGCCACAAAAAACTCGATATAAATTTGCTATATGCAATATTTCAGTTTCTTCGAGATTTGTACTGATTACAGCATAAATACTCTTTTTAAGATACTATCGTATGAAAAACCGATATAAAATCGTATTAAAGATCAACTTTTATGCCAGTTATCTTCTCACAACATATATTAAGTAGTTCAAAAAAATGTGCCAGTGCTTACAGTTAAGAAAGTTCAAAAATAAAATTATTTTCTAATCATTCAAATATAATTCGGGATAAAATGGAAAAATGAAATAAAAATCAGCGTTAAAACATTTACTCTTCTGGATATCTGAACTATAAAATCTCTTTCGTAGAGTCTAAATTATTTAACAGTGAGAAATTTGCAATGTAAACACCATCCTTTCTAAGCGAGACTTCAACAAATCAAGAGAAACGCACTATGCTTTAGTCTTGGCCGCGTGTTCCCGAATAAGTTGGGAACTATCCCGGGAAAAACAGGAGTTTTGGGCTTGGCGGATAGAATAGCGTTGGCGTTCGCCAAGACACAACTTATGCATCTAACTCAGATATTGCTTCTCCTATTCTGAAGACAACGAAGATTTTCTTGAAGCATTTGAAATGCTTTGAATTAAGTTGCTGTACACTAAAAGATGTAAAAGAACATTTTAAGCATTTTCAATTTGTTTTGATATTCTCTAAGTTAGTCGTAGAACTTTGTTTCAACATCTGCATTCACAAAATTCTTCATTTGAGCCGTAATTTTCTTATAAAAGTCTTTCATTTCTTAACTTAATCATTAATTAAAAAGAAAGACAACTGTTTCATTTTTATTTACATGAAAGATCTTCATCTTTGTTAATAAATCACTTTTAGTTTTAATAAAATCATGTTTTTTTTAAAAAATTAAATATTCATTATACCATTTCGTACAATATTAAGTTTTTTTTTATCTAACTTGTCTTGTTTGAGTTTTTTAGCTTTTTATTTTTTTGTACTACATTTCAAATTTAATAATTTTTCTCGCAGACTGAATCTTTTAAACAAATCCAAATTACGTCATTAAGTTTCCTATTCGTAGTTGAAAGTTTATCTGAAAAGAGTTTTCGCTTCACAAGAATATTTAATAAAATGGCCAACACACATGAAATATGCATAAAAAAATGCCAAGTAATAGATTTTTTTCTTTCTTTTATGCATTGTACATTGATTTTGTTAGATATGTTGAAATGTGAATATTTTTTTTCTTTTATCTTCTAATACTATTTCAAAGAGACTTTTTGACATAGTCCTTTTCTATTTCATGTGAAAAAAAGCGAAAGTCTATCGGGATGTTTGTTTGGATCATCTATTTTTTTTCAGCAGTTCGCAAACTTTCAAGGGGAAGTTTTCAAATAATCATCTTTTTCCGTCGTTATGTGGCTCTTGTTATAGGTTCAAAAATACAAAAATTAATTGATGAAAGCCATAGTTATAGATAAAAACGTGCGATTTCATAGAAATATAATTTTTACAAAATATTTTTAAAAAGTAGAATCTGGCTGTACCACTAGAAAAAATTAACATCATTGAAGCTTGCTAAACGCACAGCTTAAGTACAACTCTGTAGCTTTGTAATTTTGAAACTAACCTGGAAGACAATTCTACATTTTAATTCCCACTAGAAAGGCTTTGAGAAATAATCAGACAATTTTAAATTGTCAAAACAATTACTAATATAATTGCAAACAATCATAAAAAAACATTTCAATAAGATTATTAAAATGTGTAGAATATTTTAATTACTTTTAAATTTAAAACATTTGCCGATGTTTTCCAAATTTATATTAACTTGTTCTCGTTTACCTTTTCTTTATCATTTGAGATTATAAAAAAATCATTATTATCATTAAATATACGCTACGAAATTATTTAGATACCAGTTCATAGCACATTATTGCCGATTAACATGGAAAATTTTCTGCAATAATGAAATGCTACTACCATACACTTTAAATCCAATCAAGATTATTGTGCATTTCTTAAAGGTTTATTATTATATAGAGTTTATTTATCTTATCCTTTAATGGTGTATTAATCACTCAATTTTAATCAACGACTGTTATCGATTCAATTTTAATGATTTAAACGAAAAAAATTTAAGTATCTCAAAAATTTAATTTTACAGTTAGAATAAGAATTATAATAAAATTATCTTTTTTTCAATAAAAAAAGAAAAATATAATTGGTTTTCGTCCTTTAAAGGATATTCCACTCCTAAATGAATCGGTTTTACCGTGCAATAGAATAAAGTTATAGCTACGAAGACTGCAATTTGTCAAAAAGCTTTTGCAAAATTGATTAAGTTAAACAATTCAAATTGCATGTTTAAATAAACTTGCAGCGTTATCGCATAAATGTAAGCTACAGTACAGAAACTATTTAAATGTCCTTTCTCCTGTTAATGAAAATAAAATTCTCATTTTAGTTTTGAGGTACGATACAATTAAAAGCTCGAAGCGTAAAGCTATGAAAGTAAAAATTACGTGACTTTAACTTTAACAGAATCGATGCACTAATTAGCGTTTTAACTAATTAACTTTTACTTAGAAACTAGAAATAATCTACAATTTACCTGTAGCATTATCTTCGCACTTAACAATTTACAATAAATTTTCTGAAGTTTAAATCATTTTTGTATATAAATAGCAAAAGTAATTATTATAATTATTGTTTTAGTTATATATTAAATAATTATAACTTTTAAATTTATTTTTTAAATTTATTCAAAAGTGCATATTTAAATTTTAACTAAACGTTTAAATAAAATTCTCTTAAAATAAAGGCAACCTATATTATCATTGTTACGAAAATCGAGGAAATTTAGGGATGTATAGGAGCCGAAATAGAACATTTCTATATTTTTTTAATTATAAATTTCTGTATTTCTCTATTTTTTTCCTGTATTTCAGTCAAAATCTGGATAGTCAAGTTATTGAAGTAAATTTTCCCAAGAAAACTAAAGTATACTGGTGTTGTTCTTAAAAACTACCAAAATATGGAAAAATTTACCGTGTTTCCAGCAAAATGTGTTTCAACAAATAGTTCAGTAATTCATACCGAACAGTTTTGGTAGTGAGTTTCTAAAAATTAACAATAAAATATTACTTTATAATGTGTGATAAAAGTTAGTAAATGTGGTAAAGTTTGGTAGTTTTATCATAACACGGCATCAAAACTTAGAGCATGGCACAAAAACATTTATTCAAATAAACTTACTTCTCAATTTTGTATTTTTGTGTGGTGATGAGAGCTATAATTTTGGAAACCATAGTTTTCGATAAATTGTTAACATTTCAACAGAAAAATTATAAATGCTTAATTTAAATGCCATATATTTCGATTTATTGTCATACATTTCGGTTTATTGTCCTTACCTTACAGTATGTTAAATTTACCAGATTTCTTTTCCTCTATGTGATATGAATAAAATGAGACTCAGAAGCAATAAAGCTGATGTTTCCGGTAGAAGTTTGAAAGTTTAATTTCAATTATAAAGGAAATAAAATAACTTTTAAGATAAGTTCATAATTATATAGACAAGATTACTACCAAATACTTGTTCTTCGTATTTCCGCATAGGCTTTTGTAATATCCACCTAAAAATAATCAGCTCGCGAAATGTCTAGCAGACAAAATATATTCAATTGTTATGCTGAATTATCGCTGTTTTTAATATTAAAAAAATCTTTCGTTTTTTTAATTTTTTCAACATTTTCAACAACTAATTTTTTAAAGTTTTTCAGCATTTAATTAAATTGATAATTTTTTTAAATTTTTCTGACATTTAGAATTAAGATTTTTTTTTCACTCTTAAAAAAATACGGAGATAAATTATGGTTAAGGAAAAGTGTACTTTACACAATATCTTATCAAGAAATCGAGTTTAAGGTTATTGAGTTAAAAAATTTTGTATCAAAAACTTGAAATAGATAAAATGTAACCCCAGTATCAGGTTTTTTTAAAATTAAGTTTAAAAACTTTATTTGCGCTATAGTTTCCAACCAATTTTTCATTTATCATAATAGCACTGGTATTCCATAACAAGAAAATTTTTATTTAAAGTCAACAATACATAATATCACACTTGTGGGATAACAGTACAGATTGCTTGTAAGTATAATACTTGGCAAAAATAAAGGCTAACAAATAATTGAAAAAGGCGAAAGAATATTTGTACAGGAAAATTGTGATTGTACCGAAATATGGTCTTTAACTAACCCATAAGCAGGCCTAATCACTGTTTTTGAGAAAAAAGCTTCGAGAAAAATTTTCGGTTCTTTTTTACACCATTTATGTCATTTAGATTCATTATTTTTTGTTTTATAAGTTTTTACCAGTAATTTACGAAATATTTTTAAAGTCGCGAATTATTATTTAATGTTCAATATATTTAATGAAAGAGCAAAATGTATTTAATGGAAGAGCTAAATCTAGTTATTCTCATTTAATGCATGTCCATAAAATTAAGATTAGAAGTTATTAAATATTTTCTCAAAATTAACAATGAACTAAATCGTTTAAATTTTAAATGAATACCAACTAAACCACTTTATTAAAATATTATTGAAAGTCTCGAGTAAAATAGTTTCTCAGTTTTCTACTGGGAAACTTTTCTAAAGTATTACAAAACATCTTCAATGAAATCTAACATAATTCATCACGAAACGTAAATATTTCCTGTTATTGTATTGAACTGAGTTCTCCTCGGTAATTACAGATAGTTCTGCAAAATGCTAACAGATTTGCATGATTTGATAAAGATTGAGTATCAAAGTTCAAAACAGTTTCAGGAAACTACAGAAATTAGAGATTTAGAAAGCAATTCAAAGATTTATTCCTGCATCCAATCAAAGTATTTCCTTTCCTAACAAAACAGTTCATTAAACAACTAGAATATTTGGAGATTAAAATCTAAAGGTAAATAAAGTTAAAGTGTATTAATTATACACCATTTGCTTTCGAATATATCAAAAGTGCCTAAAGCTTATCATCTAATAAAATTTATTGAATAAAACTTATCATCATCATGATATTTTTAAGAATATATTCCTCTCTAATATATCTCATGATTGCAATGAATGCCGATTTCAACATTTTGAATTAAAAAATATTGGTACGTTTTACTATAATACTATGCAAATTAGATGATGCGGTACTAAATGGTGTTAATTTTAAGTATTGTTTGACGTTAAACAATATTACACTCCCAGAAATAAAACTCACACTTTTGACGATTTATCATTCCCTGAACTATATTTCGCTAATTTTGTGAATTAGTTCGTCCCAAAATCACGTAATTTTGTTCGAAACGGAAACTTTCAAATATATGATGGAAATGTTTCCTCAAATCTAAACCTCATTTCGGGGCATTACGGGAGATTGTTAGCTACATTGACTAAACTATAATGAAGACTAGACAATCGAAAATAACGTGACAAAATAGGCCAGCCGGCGTGTTCAAGGATTAGGGTGCTTCGGCTTGTATAGTGGTCCTGATATCAGAAGGATCGAATCACGCTTCGAACTTTTGTGTAAGTTTTCCCTGTGGTTTATTCGTCTTTCTTGCGTTATTGAGGTGACAATCACCCGGCTATGTGGTGTTCTCAAGAAAATTATTATTAGAAAAGTTTCATGCATCAAAATCACTGCG